GCTAGCAAATACGACTCCGAGGTACTTGAACTTCTCCACCTGCTCTACTGCCTGTGCGTTAACCTGATGAAAGCAACGAGCACGAGAACGAGAAAGCAACAGGCTTTTCGTTTTAGATGTAATCACACGCATGCCGGTCACGTAGAAATCGGTTGCAAACCTTTCTAGGGAGCACTGTAGATCAGTTACAGAAGATGCCAATAAAACAAGGACGTCGGCAAACAGCAACCTTCTCGTCTCCACGTCTCCTAAACCGACACACTCATCGCATAGGCTGCTCCTGACAATTCTGTCCATGTACAACACAAGCAGGAAAGGGGTATCTTAATGCAGGGTTGTGCCTATCTTGACGCGAACATCCACTACTGAGCGTCTTAAGACGGACGATTATCATATGGATCATCTCTTCTGTGCACAAGCTTCCCAGTACCAGGTATACTGATGCACTCTTCGATGCTCGAAGAAGGTGTTCATAATCGACAATCCGTTGTTTGCACAAAACCGCAACAACTTGATGCCGTTATTGTTGAGGTCGCTAGGGTCGTTCTTTCCAATCAGCATTTCCACTTTTCAGCGTCTATTCTGTCGTGCGCATTAAAATCGCCTATGAGTATGAGGGACTCCATACTCGGCACTTCGCACAGAGCGGACTTCCGCAAGGATGGACTCATATTCTCAGTCTAAACTGGGCGCATAGATCTGTAACAAGGTCAAGGCCTTAGTCTGTTGTAGCTTCAGTCAGGGGATTACCACCCTTCCGCTGATAGGCTTCCAGTCAATGATTCTATCTGTGAAGTTGGGTTCTACTAGAACACCAACACCGGCCTGGATGGGGTTCCTGCTATCGACACCTGAGAAGAATTGCTTCCACCCTCAGAGGTTAAGGATACTAGAGTCTTGGTGCATCGTTGACGAGAGTCGAACAATCTCGAGTTAGTATTCTATGGCCTCATCAACTAACTCTTATTCTTTCCCTCTGAGTGAGGATGTTTCAATTTCTGACTGTAAGCTCCCAGTGGCGGTATCATTCTCGTGGAGCCTTTTCTGACATACTAAAATGGCATCGCGCTGTCTGCCTCCTCCGTTCAGAACGGGTAGAGACTCCGTCGCTGACTGTTATATTCGTCGTCGTTCCACCAAGATCGTCAGACGCTGTTATGCTGTTCCACCCTCGGCTGGCAGAAGGCGATGAGTTGGTTCTGAGAGCCGATTTTTCGCAGTCTGCCTCAGTCCCCTAACAGCCTGCGCGGCCCTTGGTAACCCGGGCGACGTGCGAGCCGGTATAATTTTCGATGGCGTCAATTCCATGAGTGGCAGTGGTGAACCTTAACGGAGACTTCGCCACGGTCTCCAACCCACGTTCCTTCTCAACGGGGCGTGGCATCGGCGACAGCGGAGATGTTCCCACAACATAGTTGCGTAATGCCAAAAATATATCGAAATTACATACGATTAACAAAAAAATGTACAGGTAAAGTTCAGTTAGCTGGTTACTGGACTATCTTTGTGGTGACTGTGCCGAAGAGGATAAATCGATGCCAACAGAAATACATCATGGCTGATGTACAGATGCTTCAGTGATATGAGAAAGTCAAAAATATAAATAGATTTAAAATGATTCATGAAATATTACTGCATCCACACATCGGAATACTCATTCGCTTGCAAACGCCAGGTTGAAAGTAAATTTACAGTTTTCACTTTGGTCCAACATTTTTACTTCATATTTAGATAGCCGTTCACTGGGTAGTTATATAATTGATGAACATAAATTTTGAACATAAATTTTTAATCCATAAGAGGTCATTAAATGCAAAGGGAAAATTGATACGGGAAAAATTTGAAATACCCGAAACGACAGTCAGGTCGTCGAATGAGCGAGAACGCAAAGTCGAAGCCGGTTACTAAGTGAGAAATGTTGGGATATGAAGGCAGGCACTGCTCATATGAAGTAAATGTAGACCTCCCACTAATTCATTTAAGACAGTGGTAAGATTGGCGGTCATACCTGGTAAATGTCTAAATCACACTGACGAAGCTCCATGTTAGGTACGATGATGCGCTCGCAAATGTAAGCCAGCGTTTCATTGTTTTCGAAAAGACCTTTGTACCGTTCGCGCTCGCATACGGACGCCAAGAAACTGACTGCATTCGCCACGAGCAGATCGTACTTTACCTCACGACCCGTATTCAACAGCATGTTCCAAACGACCTCGACGAATGATGACAAGTACGGCGAAAATTCTTCTTCATAGCGCTGCGCGTACATTCCGATATTGTTGCAGATCTGTGATCTCAGATTCTCCACGACGTCTTCATTTGGAGAAACAAGCGGCGAAAAGTCTGCTTTCAACAGAGTCAGAAAGTTAGACATCCATACATTTATGTTGTCTTCGAAAAATTCCGGCAGATCTTGGATGTTCAAGCTATAAAAAATCTTCGCCATCAAAGTCAAAGAAGCAATCGCTGCCTTCGCAGTTTTGGAGTTTTCCGGTGTCCGTGTAGGAGAAGAGATCATGTCGATAACATAAGTGACAGTGAGTTTGAACAGTTCAGTCAATGGTGACGCAAAGTTGTCAAGTACGTACTTAATTTCAGCCCACAACTCGTTAGACTTCGCGTCAGAGCGATAGTGCTTGAACAATGAATGTGCGGTTTGCAGTACGCTTTGGATAACGTCGAAGTCGCCGGAGGTCAAATAAGAAACGAAGTCACCGACCAGACACGGCCAGCGATCAGGAAAATCGCTCTTGCCAATAACAGCAAGTGCTTCTGCTACCTGTCGTTTGATATTCGGAGCCGCGATGATCATCAGCCCCAAGATCTGTTCTTTGATATACGCCCGATCAGTATCCGAAATGTAGTGCACATCATCTTTTGTCAAATTCCAGTTGTGCCTAACAAAGTTTTTTAAAGTTATCGCGCCTGCCATCTTGACCTCAACAGAAAAATCCGGGCTTAGAATTACAGATATGACAAGTCGCGAAAAACCTAAAGCAAAATTTCAATACCGAAAACACTATAAAGTCTGTAACCTTCATTATGCTCCACACTGACCAGAAAACTTTCCGCTGGTTTCCGAATTTGATCATCAGGACTTAACGTCTGCTGCAAATAGTTAGAAAACACCCGCATGTTGTTCTCATTTGGTTCCATGCTGCTTAGAGCCGACATTGCACCGGTGCGCATCCAAGGGCCGATCCAATTTGATAAGCCTAGAAATACACAACAGATTATAAATATAAAGATGCAGGAAGATAGCGATTAAAAACCAACCATATTTAGTTCATGTGACACTGCCCTTAGAAAGCTTAAAAACCTTAAAGCCGAATTTTACCAGTCTGCTTTGGGTAAGGCGAATTTTCTAACATGCGACAACGCCAAAAAGAATAAATTAACTCCTTAAAATGTTTCTCGACTTTTCTTTCTCACTATCAAGCCAGTCTTTCGATAACTGTTTTCAAGCACTCTAGTAGGGAGCACCAGTGCGGGGGTCAACATTTTTGCTTCGAATATTAAATATGATAGTGAATGAACTGAACTCGGCTGTTGTTCATTCAGAGCGCGAATGAAACAGGAGATTTGGAAACCTTGGTGAAATTTCCAGGGAGACTTAGCCACCTGCCCTACATGGCGTAAATGTTATCAAAAGCTACAACAGCTTCGTTGTCGTCCGGGTAACCAGTGGCCGCGAAGGCAATTTGCCAACAAACAGAATACTAAACGTCGAATATAAAAACTTGCTTTATGCCATCTGACACCAGGAGGCAGCATCACAGCGACGACTGCCAAAGATCTAGACGAAGATAACGAATATACCAGTCGGCTTCAGAGTTTCAGCTCATTCAAAAGGGAGGAGACAGACAACACGATAGCACATCAGACAGGGTTTCACGGGAACAACATCGCCACTGGGAGCTTACTGTCGGAAATTGGACTATATCATCATTCGGAGGGAAAGAGCAGGAGTTAGTTGATGAGGCCGTACAATACCAACTTGGCATGGCTGATTAAGGGATATAAATGGACCTCCCGTCATCGAAGCACCAGAGCTCGGCAATTCCGAATGACAAAATCATTTAATGGAAGCCTATCAGCGGAAGAGTGGCGATCTTCTGCGTGAAGCCATAACAGGCTAAAACGCTGTCATAGGTCTGTACGCCTCAACAATAATAGTTTGAAGTTGTTGTAGTTTTGCGCAAACAACGGACTGTCAATTATGAACACCTTCTTCGAGCATCGAAGAGTGCATCAGCATACCTGTACCGGGAAGCTTGTGCACAGAAGTCGATGATCGATTTGATAATCATATCGCCTGACCTAAGACGCTCAGTAGTGGATGTTGGTGTTAAAAGAGGAGCAGGCCTATCAATCGAACATCACCTTGTTTGTGGCACGCTACACTGTAAGAAATGGAGTACCATACGAAGATCCGGTGGCAGAAGCAACCGGAGAATCAAATGGGAAACATTATCTTCTGCGGATATGATGTGAAACTCGCAAACAACATCGCGCGACTATTTGAATAGAACTTGCTATGATAGCCGGTAACATGGAATCCGAATGAAAACTCTTTAAGAGTCGTTTACTCGGAACTGCCCGCAAATGTTATGGTTTAAAACTGGTTGGAGGTCAACATGAGGGTCACAAATGACACCAGAGGTATATATGGCTGCCATCCAGAAGGCTGCACTCAAAAGGAGGCTTAGAGCATTCAACTCGAATGCAGTACGAAGAAGTACGCATGATAGTGGCGAACTCAAATGGCCAAAACGAACGCTGTTAGTTGGGAAAATTCTGTGGTGCTGGAGTCGAAATTCCAAGCAATAAGCAAGGTACTCATGTAGACGACCCGCCGCTTGTGAAATGGAAAAAAGGACTGTCTGAGAGTGCTGGAGGGCAATTCGAGAAACGCCTTCGTACTAAGGAAAAGAACAAAGTCCGGGAGATGAAAAGAATACTTTGTAGACTTCCGTAACTGAGAGTAATAGCAACAAGACTCGCCTGAAAAGCAACAGAAAATGGTTATCAGTACTTCTGCAGATTAGATCACACAAGCTGTAAAAATATGAAAAATGGAAAGGCTGCTGAAATCGATGAAATCCGTTGTGAAATGCTTAAAGCTTTAGGCGAACAGGGCATGTCCGGGCGTACCCGTGTCTCAACTGCAGTGGCTACGCAGAAGACACGAGCGAAAGAGAGATCGGGGGTTGTAATACACCATTTCAAGAAGGGAGATCATAGAGAGTGCTTAAATCATCGAGGTATCACCCAACTGATCTTTCCGGAAAATGCTTATGCAAAGACGCTAGAAAGAAGGTGCCGCGGAATTGCTGACTCTAAGATGCAAGGAGGTCACTGTGGCTTCAGGTCAAAAGTAGTACCTTTAACCAGATCATCGCCAGATGCAATATGATCTCGTTGAGTAATCGTGCGAGTTCGCTCATTAGGTGTAAAGTCCATGTTTTTCCAAACTGAAAATTCACAGATGCGATAGTTTTGGCATTTTTGTGAATGTGATCAGAAAGCAAGACGAAACAGCTACAATTGGCTCAACCGACCGGCTAAAGGCCCCCTCCGACGGCAAAGCATAATCTGAGGCTCAACGGATTCTGCACAAAACCCGAGTTATCTTTAGCCGACGTTCAGACGCTGGCTCGGTACTGGCAATGATGCAAAATTGTCTAATACAGTTGCTTCTGCGACCAAAAGGGATAAGTGGCCATCGAAACTGACCGAGTAACGGTTCGATGCGTAAGGCGGCGTAGATTATTTTCCTTAACTGCTAATTTTCGAAAAAGGAATTCATCTCACTGTGCTTCGGTGAAGCCAGCAGAGAACAGGCAATAAACTGATGAAATGCCAACATATGGAGAATAAAAAGTGTTCTGTTGTAGAAAACCGAGAACCAACGAAGACTTACAGCCCGGCTATCGAACGTTTGCGCTTCACAGTTGCAATTCATTTTCCCAATCTGATAGCTGACTAAATCAACATCATGTGTAACTCGTAAATAAAACAAAAGACGTAGCTTACGAGATCTCCAACGCAGCTCTCGTATTAAGATGATCGAAAAAGAACAAGTATATACTGTTTCAACCAACTTCGTGCCACCCTTATGTTTCGGCTTACTGTCAAAAGAGTCATCTGCCGTGCCAAATTCGCCGGATGCAAAAACCATACGGCTATGCGAATTTCTACAGCTGAAGTCGTTTGGTCTTCTATCCTTAACTACCAGGTTTAAGGGTTTAGGTATATGATCAACCGACATAACCAGCCAGCACATTCGTCATCAAGCCTATGGCTCTGCATACCGATGTCTGTCCAACTCCCTCTGCATCACGGCATAAACTCAAAAACTTTGCGTTTTACTCAGATATAACGGGCGACGATGAGAAAAACGCATGGGCTGTATGCCACGTTGGATTGTGATGGAGCCTAATGTAGTCGTCAGTATCTACAGTAACATTCAAAAGGAAAACCCATAGCTACAACTGTTAATAGCATGCGGCAGCGGCTATATTCGAGGAAATTACGCTGTTGAATCATTCAAGCAGACAGAGGAGGCAGTTGAAGAGACTTAGTCCAAACCGAACAAGCCTCTGGACCGAGTACTCCTACTCTGAAACAAACTTTCATTCCTACTACGGATACAGTGCAGATACGGTAATCGTTTAGAGGTACGTATCTCCGCAGACTTTAAAACTGGATTTTAGCCTTATGACGGATCTTAGAATGCTGTGAAATACCTGTGCATATCAAGTCTATTGCAGAAGCAACTAAAGAACCATATAAGTCATTAAAATTGAAGGAACAACATCTGAGTGACATCTATTAACTGAGAAATCCACAAAAAAATAGTACTTTGGCCTTCACCATTCAACACTGGCAAGTTCTCATTAACACTGCTAATCAAAGCATAGATGAAGGTTTAGTCTAGAGGTAAGTCACACCCATAGATATCTGACCCAATATTTGTTTGAGGACATCGTCTTGATGAGCAACTGGTGAAACGAGCCTATTTACCTGACAGCTTCAGTATACAACACAGCTGAGAAAAGAGAAACCTCCTTATCGTGAAGAAGACAGAAGTTGTGAAAGAATCATTCGGCAAAACAGATCCGCGCGTGCAACAGTAGACGTTGTCGATCAGTTTCAGCATTTCATTTACACAATTTTTAGTGATTATCCTGGACAGTTAGTTATCAGGAGGATCGCTGATGCCTTTAAAGCTTACGACAACAAGTCCAATATGCTTTTTAATGAAAAAACGGCTTGTCCCTCGCAACTGCCAGGTCAGAGTTGTCATGCGACACAACGACGGTTGTTATAACCAAACATCAATGAACGAAGAGGACATAACAGTGCTGGTTTCTATGGACAAAAATTAAGTAACTAAATTCTCTACCGGAGATAAGTACCTATAATAGAACTAAAGATTCGTACAAAGTATACACATCCATCAATTCATTTTAAAGCGCACTGTCCCCTTGGAGTTGTGCAAAAGACTCGAGATATCTGATCCTCAGTCTGTACCTTGATCGTCACCGATGTGAGATTGCCAAGATAGTCCGCATTACATATCCGTACTACAGGAATCGCGATATCCTGATGTAGCTCACAACAGAGAATATCTCATATGGAAGTGTTCCAAAACTTGTCGAATCTAATTACATTAGCAGCCTTTCAAATAAACCGCATTTACGCAGTACCTATTCTGACTTGATTTCATAAACTGACTTAGCATAAACTCTGCGTTCTAGCATAACTTTGAATGCAGGAACTGAAAGAGAGGTGTTCACCAGGATCAGGCAAAGTGATGGAAAAAAACAACAGGCAGAATGGATGCAGACAGAAGCAAAAAGGTAGGAATTGTTCCTGTAGGAGCTTTAATCGCTCATCATTATCAGTTATTACCATGTAAGTAGATATATGACATGATGTGTTGTCATACACAATATCTTTCGACCCTGTGCGGCAATGGCGAAACTTAGTCGCTGTTTCATAACAAGAGGATGAAATCTTGCGAATGCAACGAACAACACAATCAGGAGACGATCTGTAGCTACAAGCGGCTCAATGTGATGATCACAGTTAACAACAAGACAACCATGAAGACAAACACGATTCTCAGGATGATCAGCTCAAGAAGAAGTATAGCTGAAGACTTTAACATAACCAATCATTCCTTGCAAGGCAAGTAGGCCTGAAAA